TTCATATTTCAGATTCTCTGTTTGTTTGTTGTTTGTTTGTTTTCAGACAGAGGGTTTAGTAAATACTAACTTGCCTAGGATTGACTGAAATAATACTAGGCTTGTATTTGTTCTCACATCTAAAGAGAAAAGGAAAAGAAGGTCAGTAGAATTACGAATTCTTTCAATGTCTTTGTGCTTTAGGACTCCAGAGAAAGGGACCTGCAAAGTGTTTCAAAATTTCTTCAGCTGTTGCAGGTTTCCCACCCTACACCCAGCAGTTTCAAGCTCTAGTGTGCTTTTTGGAAATCATTTTTTGATGAGTAGAAATCCCTACAGAACTGGCATAGTGCAGTGTCTAGCAAACCAGCATGAACTAGAAAAAACTCCAACCAATGGAGATACATTTAAGAAAAGCATACTGGGAGAAGAGCAGCCACACGTTCCCAACTTGAACTGAGATGGCTTTTCCATCCAGGATGATACTTATTGTCCCAACATGCCTTATGTAGTTTGGGAATGACCATTTACCTGGTCACACTTACAGGTGTGTAACTTTTGTGTGTGTGTGTGTGTGTGTGGTATTGGGGTTTGAACTCATGGCCTTGGGCTGCTAACCAGCATTTTGTCACTTGGGCTACATCCCAGCCCCTTTTTCTTTTGTTATTTTTTCAATAGGATTTCTCCTTTATGCCTAAGCCAGCCTGGAGTATGATCCTCTTATTTACATTTCCCACATAGCTGGGATAACAGAGCATACTACAATGCTTAGCTTTTTTGCTGAGACATGGTCGCATGAACGTTTACTAGGGGAGGCCTCAAACTGCAATCCTCCAATCTCCTACTCCAACGTAGCTAGAATGACAGACATAAGCCACCATGGCCAATCTTAATCTTTTGTTTTTAGCATTTCCTTTTTTAAATTATTGTTCTGGGGGCACAATGTAACATTTACAAAAGTTCTTATAATGTATCAGTATTGAATTCACCCCCTCCACCATTCTCCTTTACAAAAGGTCTCACTTTTCCATTTATATACATGTATAGGTAGTATTTCCACCATAGTCACCATCCTACACCCTTTTTTCAAATCCTCCCCCTCCCATTGTCACCCAACCCCCAAGATAGGCCCTATTTTGCTTTCTTGTTATTCATTTTTGTAAGAAAAAGTTACATTTTTTTGTTTATGATAGCTACATTAAACAAGCTATTTAATATATCTGAGTTCCCATTCTCTCATCTGTAAAGTGGAGAAAACTATACCACTTTTGAAAGACTGTGAGGCATGAAACACTATAAAATAGAACAGAATAGCACAGAATATAGTGCATAGCACATAAGAGCTAACTGGAATAATGGTAAGAAGTATATGTATTAGCTGTCCAGAGAAGTTGTTTGTTTTTCTGTGGAAAAATGTTTATTAATCCATAAATTTTACTCATGTTCTTATTAGTTTCTCTTGTATTTCTTACTTTTTAGCTCTTTCCAAACCTCCCAGGTACCTATATTTATGCAGTCCTTTCCTCCAGAAAATCCCTGAGAAAATGATCAGATAAAACAAATTCTCACTTACTCTCTAGGAGCTACAACTAGAGGAGTCAGAAAACCTGAATATAGAAGAATGAATTGCAATTGAAATCAGCAGACAGGATTTGGGGGAAGGTGAAATAACCCCCTAAACCCTTTAAGTTGCACAAACGATAACCAGCTATAAGTCCAGACTCATTTCTGGACACTACTTACCTGGGACCCCCCCCCAACTTATCTCTCAGGACTCCCTCTCCTCTGCAACACCACTTTCTCTTCGTCTACTCAATCATTTTCAGTCCTGACACACACCATCCACTCTCTTTTTATGCCTTTGCATATGCTGCTCCCTTTGCCTAGAATGTCCAACCTCCCTCCAGATAATTCCCAGTTGTACTTGAAGATTCAGCTTAACTCACCTTTTCTGATCTTTCCATGTTGTTCCTCCCAGGGTTTCCTCACTGTTGAACTCTTAGATGTAGTGGGAGACTGGAACTCACACTGCAGCCTGTGCGAGTTCACCAAATATTGGAGTAATTAGGTGATTGATGGATAACTGAATTCACAAAAAATGAATAAATTTTGAACAAAGACAGCTATAAAAGTGGAGAGTAATAACTTGACTCTGTAAGGACAGGAAAGGGACAATAAAAAGAAAATCAAAATATAAAGAAAACATCATCCATTCGTAGCCTGATTAATGCTCCCTGAAAATGGCCTGGCTGGAGAGTGTGGCTCACAATGTGAGAGGGGACAAGAGCATGATATCTTTATCATGATAGGATGATAAAGCTAGAGTTACAACAATCGAATACATAAGCTCAGGTAAGTTATTGTTGGTCTCATTTGGACCGTATATTCACAGCTAGCTCTTAGCTTAGACAAGGGTATGCGTCGTGTCTCTGCTGTTGCCCCTCATGTCTTTTCATTTCAGAATGCTATAGTGCTTAGGAGCATGATTTTTCACCTATAATCCCAGTTAAATTCCTTCAACACAGTCTGCACACTGAAGCACATAGTTTTCTTTGAAGCAGACTTTGTTGAAATTGCTATTACCTCTGCCTTCCAGGACTACTATATTCTGCTCTAACTAGGAAGGAAGAAACAATATTTACATGAATGGACTTTGTAACCTGGCATATATTTCTAACTGGGATAAAGTTTTAAAGTTCCAGAAAGCATTAGAAGTTATAGAAAGGATTAGTGTTCCAAAGGACAACTTGTTAGTCTGAACACCAATTTAAATCTTTTTCATGTCTTCATTGAATGTGAGCTCCCCGAGCTGAATTCTCCCTCTCATTCTACTCTCATTACTAAATAAAAAGAATTAAAAGGGGTCAGTATTTTAATCAAGCAAACATATGGGTGAATTATTGAAAACCACAAAAATCTGCATTGTTCAGACCAACTCCAAGACAAATGCAACCAAATGTCTGAAAGGACACTTGGGTAATGGCTTCCATGCATTAGGGGTAAGAATATTTTTGACATGAAGCCTTATAGGAAGTAGAATTATGAGCTAAGAGTTGGGAGAGAAGGAAAAAGTAATGAACAGGAGGGAATTCCTTCTAAGTCTTAGTCAAGAGGGACAAAGTATTATTTTTTATATATTTACTTTATTTATTTAATTTTTATTATTGTGCTGGGGATACACTGTGACACTTGCAAAAGTTCTTACAATATATCATAGTTGAATTCAGTGCCCCCCCCCATCATTCTCTTTTATTCCTCCTCTCCCCATCCCTGGAGTAGTTTCAACAGGTCTCATTTTTCCATTTTCATACATGATACGTAATATTTTCTCCATATTCACCCTCCTACAGCCTTCTCATATATCCTTCCCCTCCCACTGGAACAAGCCCCCCAGAGGACTTGTTTTGGCTTCTTGTTCTCTGCTTTTGAGGAAAATAATGACATTTTTGTTTGTTTAAGACTGCTATACAAGGTGTTTCATTGTGACATTTTCATGTTTATATGAATTATAACCCAAATTGGTTCATCCCCTCTATTTGTCTCCTTTCTACCTTTGTCCCGTTTTAATGTTGATTTCAACAGGTTTAAAAATTCTATATTCATAGGAAGTACATCAACCATGTTCACTTTCCTAACTTCTTTCTTTTACCTTTCCTCTCTTATATGTGACCTCCCCTTAGTGTGACCTGTTTTTCATAATATTGTTTGTATTTGTATTGGGTCTATATTCACAGATGAGAGAAAACATGCAGCCTTTGGCTTTCTGAACCTGAATAACTTCATTTAAGATGATGTTTTCCAGTTCCACCCATTTACCTGCAAATGGCAAAGATTTCATTCTTCTTTATAACCAAATAAAATTACGTTGTATATAAATACCACATTTTCTTAATCCATTCATCAGTAGTGGGGCATCTTGGCTGTTTCCATAGCTTAGCTATTGTGAATAGTGCTGCAATAAACATGGGTGTGCAGTTGCCTTTATTGTAACATGACTTACACTCCTTTGGGTATTTCCCTAGGAGTAGTATTGCTGGATCATACAGCAGTTCTATTTTTAGATTTTTGAGGAATCTCCATACTTTTTCCCATAGTGATTATACTAATATACAATCCCACCAACAGCGTATGAGGGTTCCTTTTCCCCACATCCTCACCAACAGGTGCTGTTTGTGTTCTTGACGATAGCCATTGTAACAGAAGTGAGGTAGAGTTTGCACGTGATTTTAATTTGCATTTTTTTTTATGGCCGGGGATGTTGAGCATTTTTTCATGTGTTTTGTGGCCATTTGGACTTCTTTAAAAAAGCTCTGTTCAGTTCATTTGCCCATTTCTTCATTGGGTCATTGATCTTTGGGGGAGTTTAGTTTTTCGAACTCCCTGTATATTCTGGTTATTAATCAAGAGGGGCACAGTATTAGCATAGGTTTCCCAGTGGTGATCAATACATTTTCAAATATAGCATTAAAGAAAGCATAGAAATGTTGAGAATTGATTCCTTCAGAATCAATTAAAAAAAAAAAAAACACCTCAGACATAAAAAAATGGAAAAGAGAGCCAAAGTCATGTGTGAGCCTTTCTTGTTGGGAAGATTATTTAGAGCCACAAAGTACTTGACAACAAAGAAGACTTCTTGTGAAGGAGATACTTGTTTAAAATAATTAATAATATTAAATTTACTTGCTATTTATGTAGAGCTTATTTTCAATACATTTGTTTGCTGGGTATAAATATAAATAAATTTTCTGTCAAAGGGAAACAAAAAGGTAGGGTTATATCAGAAAGTTTTCAGAACTTATAAAAATAAATGACAGTATTTGTTTTAGCCATTGTGGGTAAGCTTTATACCCCTATTATGTTTATTCAAGGATGTAAAAGTGGCTAAGTAAATGTGAACAAAATGTACTTTGTTGGTTTTGCAGAGTTATGAGGAAGATTTATGAGACATGGGACCTTGCGTCAGGTTTGGAAGAAAGTAGAGTGAATGCAGAGGCGCCAGTCTACCCTAACGCGCATGGACAATCTCCAACTCACTCTTCTCAATCAGACTTTCAGATTTGCGAGTAATATGCTGCCTTTGCAAGATGAAAAGAAACTAGTGCCAAAGAGGTGTATTCTTCAATATTTGGAGTAGAGGACTCTTGAGACAATGGCGTCAAAGGTCTCCTGCTTGTATGTTTTGACGGTCGTGTGCTGGGCCAGCGCGCTCTGGTATCTGAGCATAACTCGCCCCACTTCTTCTTACACTGGTTCCAAGCCATTCAGCCACCTTACAGTCGCCAGGAAAAACTTCACCTTCGGCAACATAAGAACTCGACCTATAAACCCACATTCTTTTGAATTTCTTATAAATGAACCCAACAAATGTGAGAAAAACATTCCTTTCCTTGTTATCCTCATCAGCACCACCCACAAAGAATTTGATGCCCGCCAGGCAATTCGGGAGACATGGGGGGATGAGAACAACTTTAAAGGGATCAAGATAGCCACACTCTTTCTCCTGGGCAAGAATGCAGATCCTGTTCTAAACCAGATGGTGGAGCAAGAGAGCCAGATCTTCCATGACATTATCGTGGAAGACTTCATTGACTCCTACCACAACCTCACCCTCAAAACGCTAATGGGGATGAGGTGGGTGGCCTCTTTCTGTTCTAAAGCCAAGTACATCATGAAAACAGACAGTGACATTTTTGTAAACATGGACAACCTCATCTATAAACTTCTGAAACCTTCCACCAAGCCAAGAAGAAGGTACTTCACTGGCTATGTCATCAACGGAGGGCCAATCCGGGATGTTCGCAGTAAGTGGTATATGCCCAGGGATTTGTACCCGGACAGCAACTATCCACCGTTCTGTTCAGGGACTGGCTATATCTTTTCAGCTGATGTGGCTGAACTCATTTACAAGACCTCGCTCCATACCAGGCTGCTTCACCTGGAGGATGTGTATGTGGGGCTGTGTCTTCGAAAGCTGGGCATCCATCCTTTCCAGAACAGTGGCTTCAATCACTGGAAAATGGCCTACAGTTTGTGTAGGTATCGGCGTGTTATCACTGTGCATCAGATCTCTCCAGAAGAGATGCATAGAATCTGGAATGACATGTCAAGCAAGAAACATCTCAGATGTTAGGATTTTTACCAATGTAAATATGTTTCTTTTTCTTTTTTAAGAAATGGGGCCTAAGGTGTTGGTATTTTACAGATATCAACAGGGGAAATGAACCCATGAAGGGGTTTTGTAAAGTTTTTGCTTCCCACTCCTAGTTCCTTTCTTTGATTACCAATTTACAAATGTTAGGCTTTGGTTTTAGAAACGGTAAGTGAGCTAGAAGGACCAGATTTCATTCTCAGGTCCTCAGATATTGTTATTTATCTCAAAAAGTGACTTCTGAACAGCTCCTAGGACTTATGCACTGTGCATCTGAGAAGAAAATCTGGTTTGGGAAATGGAAATCACAGTACTGTCTTCATATCATCTCTGCAAAAATAAATAAGAAAAAAAACTCCTTTTTTGAAAACTCAGAAATGATGCACAGTCAGGAAGACACCTGTTATTAATATTGTGTGTGATTGTTACATTGAATTTTTACATATATTGCCATATAATGTATACAGTGTTTGTGTACTGACCTTGGTACTGGCAGGGAGACTATAGTGAAATAGATGGGATTTAAACTTCAGAATCAAATATTCTGTTTGTTTGGAAAACAACTCTGCTTGCTTGTCCAAGAATTAAACCTGGTCAGCAGGTGGAATGTATATAAAATGCTACTTAAACAAAATAATTTTCTTTTGCTCTTTCAGAACAAATATTACATGGTGCCTCCAAGGAGACTTTGCCAAATGTAATAATCTCACCTGCCTCCTTCCATTTAATGACACTAAGTCCATTACAGTTTCTCAGTCAGGCAGGTACATGTCTTCATGTATAGAAAAACAAGACAGTAGGAGGCCGTAGAACAAGAAACCACATTGAGAAAATACAAATTTAGGTATACATTATAATTAACATAAGCTTAGCAGTAGTGTAAGATGCCCTCCCCACACACTTGCAAAGCATGTGAGAAAGTTTTTGAGTAGCAGTATTATTGAAAGACTTGGCCTTAGTGCTGGCAGATACAATACTCTAGCATCTGAAAAAGCATACAAGTACCTTTAGCAGCAAAGTTGTTATGAGGTGTTCTCAGGACTCTGTTACTAAGTAATGAGAAGGAAGGATGGAGAAGCCCGATTTCAGACCCTATTGATAGTACCAAACTTATTGGACCATGGGAACAGGCCTCTCAGCTTCCATGTACTTCAATATGCTCACTTGTAAAATGGATGTAAAAAAGGAAAAAAAAAAAACTATCCCACAGGTACTGTGAGAGCAAATCACATTTGAGATCCTTAAATGGTGCTATGTCATGTGATGTATCATGCATTATTTATACTAAATGCTAAAATTATTAAAATAATGATAATGGTGGTCTTCAGTAGTAGTAGCATCATCATCTTCATACGAAAACCTACCAAAATAAAGATCAACTATGAACTGTCAGTCTACCTGTTTCTTCCCCAACTTTGACTTTTCCTTGACTATAAGTTAATTGTTGGGGAAGCTTTGATTTCTCTTCCATTTCTTCTGGTTTCAATGAATGAGTTAGCACTTCAGTGTGTTGTTGCATTGGTAGCCTAAGGTGTTGAAAGTGAAGGCAGTTGCCTTGCTTTTAGGAGGAACCTCTGGTAGGGGTATGTTACAGTGAGTGAAGCACATGCTTTGCAAAATGGGAAACATTTCACCTAAATTCTCTTCGAGAATTTTGAGGATGGGTGGAGCTAGTTGTTCTATCAGAAGAACAACAGGTACACAGCAAATCCTATACATTGCACATCTACCATTCCTCAGGAAAAGTCATTCTCATTCAAAGAAAGTCCCACTGCTGAAAGAGGGAACCTTTTTATTCATTTGTTTCTTAACCTGACCTCTGGAAGCCCCTGTAGAAGTTAATAGCAAACAAGGAGACAAAATGACTAAATAGACATCATAGCCTATTTCTAGAAAACACTGGATATCTCATTTCAAGCCCCAAAGTAGCCAATATGAGATAGTACTTCTTGTCCCTTTAGTATATCTTTGTCTTATTATAGCCAGCAGAACTGATGATTTTGATTACAGAACAGGTTAGGTGACCTAGGGATGGATAGAGCAGCACATAGTGAGCCACCCTCCACTGCTGTGAGCGCCAATCACTGGGAAATTCTCACGACTTCATGCTTCATTTCCCTCTCAGTCATAGGACTGAGTCAAGTCTCTGTCTCATATTATTGCCTTGCATCTACTCCATGCTCAGTCAAGCCACCTTCAGTGTCAAGGAATTGCACATTATAAACACCATAAATGTATATCTATGAATTGTTTTGTATGTGTTTGTGTATAGGGTATGATAGAACCCTAATCTTGAAAAGGAGCAACACTCAGAAAATCATATGTCTTAAAGAACTATTTCCTAACTTTTTTATGCTAGGTAGTGCCCATGTGACAAATATGTAAATAATCAAAGATCACATGTATATATTTTAAAGACTTTTTTTTTCTTCTCCCCGACTGTATGTAAAGCTAGCATCTACTTGTTATGTAACATTTTCTTCTGCATGGAGCTTGGTGAAGCAAGACCATTTGTTCAGTATTTCAATAGCCTTAAGCATGTTTACCTTTGTTTTTTGAATGTTCAAAAAATGTTTAAGTGACCAAGGAAAAGTGCTAATTTTCTACTTTTGTTAACACTATGACATGACACTGGCCAAACCATTGTAATTATTTGTTAAGTCATTCTTATTTCCCCCATTTAAAATAATGTTTCATAATAATGGCAGTATTCTAGATTGGGGGTGTAACTCAGTGGTAGAGCGCTTGCCTAGCATGAAGAGTACAGAATTAAATCTCAGCTCTGCAAAATGAATAAATAAATAAGGGCAGCATTCTACTAGAAGTCATTTGGACAATTTTTACAAAAACTCTCTGATTGCCCATTCTCCCCATCTATTTGCTCCATGCACTAGATAGCAATGGGTATCAGTAATCAGTGTCTATATTCTGAAACTTTCTTTTTAAAATTTATTTTCTGGATAAAAAGTTTTACCTTTGGTGGCTTGTTTGTGTAGCTTTTTGTTCTCTTATTTTGGAGTAGTTTCAATACATAATAATGTACTTTTAAACAACCAGAATCAAAACATGAAGATCATTTTCAATTTGGACTAAATCCAGAAGAACAAAATCCTCTGTGTGGTAAGATTTGGGGGAAACAAACTCTACCAACAAGACAAAGAAGGAGTTTTTCAACCAAATTTCTCCTACCAAGAGATAATGGAATACTTATGTACAGTGTCTGGGACTTATTTTCTACCTTTCCTTATATATGGCTTCAACAGGGGAATTGATTATGTCATTTCTTCTATAAAGGTGAAGATAGTTTTTATAAGCAGCAAAGTAACTTGTGAATGAAAGAAGTAATTTACTAGAAATGCTTGTTGGTGGTAATTGACATTTAGGTGTCTCATTATATATGAATGATTGTATTTATGTATTTATTGTTCAAAATTGTACATAGAGTTTTGCCAAAAGTAATTGTCTGTAAAAGTGCACTCTCTGGGTTTGTAGTACTACTTAGGGTTACATGGGTTGCCAATCAAGCTGCTAATCAAAATACTATTTTTTTGTATTAATGTTGTAAAACTAAAAATGACAGATGCTGAAGATGTCTTTACACTCAGTTTCTTCACCTTCCTCTTGAAATGTAAACTCGATTGAAAGCAAGATGCTAATGTACAGACCCATCTGTCCAGAGGAAGATTATGGTTCCATAAAGCTGATTTTTTAAAACCACTGGGACAAATAAACAGAAGGAGAACATATCCCATTTTGCTGCTTTTTTTGAATGAATCTCTTTGGGGAGATGTGATTATTAAAATAAGTTGATACTCACCATTTACCAAAATCTCTATAGATTCAATGTAGATAGTGGTTCAAACCATTCAGAATTCATCCTCAAGAGCCCAACTTGGAGACTCTGGTCCAACAAGTAAACAAACCATGACCGTTCCTGGGCTTAGGAAGCAGGTTTTCACTTGTCCCTATTGGCCTCAGAGTTAGCCTCTGTGTTAAATCATATGGGTTGAACCCACCAACAAATTCCAGTGGAGAGGGGCATTATTGTTGATACTGTGCTTGGCAAGTTAGGTTAAATCAAAAAAAAAACTGTCATCTTTATGTTTCACCCACCTTTGGAATATTGCATACAACTTTGAAAGCTTAATAGGACTAGAAAATATCTATTCAGATGTTCTTTAGCATAAACAAGTAGATGTTGATTGCTGATGCCTAACTGTAAGCAAGAGACTAAGAACTATTTAAAAAACAAAAGTTTTTTTTAATTATCAATCTTAATTTAGCAAACAAGTCTTCATTTTTAACAGAAATATAGCATTGGATTTATTGCCCCATATTTTTAAGTTCACAAAGGTAAAGTCTTATCAGGTGAGTTGAAATATGTGAGTAAACAATGAAAACATAAAATATGCAGATTTGTATTCCATGGAACATTTTAAAAGGACCAACATCATGAACTGTGTTCTGAAAGTGTGGTCTCCTGCCCAGGATCATCATATCCATCTGGGAACTTGTTAGAAATGTAAATTCCTGGGCCCCACCAGAAACTACTCATGCATGCTGAAGCTGAGGACACTGATCTAGAACAGGGACTACTGAACTATAATGTGTGAGCTGCAGGCAGCCTGTTACCCACCAGCTAAGGACAGCTTCACAAATGAACAAATATTTGCATTATAGACCTAACAGTGAACCCCAACAAAGCAAAATGTTATTCCAATAATAAGAAGCCTATTTATCTGTTAGTAGATGTATATTGTAAAGAAACTGCTCAATTATTATTGCACCATCTTGAATTCCATCAATCTGATGGAATGTTGTTTTCTCTCTTGTTATTAAAGTTTTTTCGCATATCTACAGTTTTGCCTCTTGGACTGCAAATCTTAAAATATTTATTATCTGGCCCTTGTAGGAAAAGTTTGCCAAAGTCTGACCCAGAGAAATAAGAAAACACTGAAGAAGGTTTACATACAAAATTTCTCCAGTTATGAACAAGGAATCATATCAGTAAAGCTGTCAGAATTGCATCCATGCTGCTAGGGAAATGACAATAGTCATAATAATGAATTATGTAAAAAAAAAAAAACCAACAGCTGTATAGAGTTTTAAAATATTTCCTTTTCTCTCAGAGCGATTTTTAAAAATTATAAAAGCTTGATTCTAATTGTAACAATTATCCACAGTTTAATTAATATA